AATTTTAGGATAAAAAATTTGGGAAATAATGATTTTTTTCTTCGATATTGATAATTTTTTCGGATATTTTTTTAGCATTTCACGATTTTGACTATATTATTGTTCCAAAATTTAGTTTTTTCATTTATCCATAAGATTTTTGTGTAAAAATAGTTACAAAGATTAAAATATAAGTATAATGATTAATATAATATAATGTCCATAAATATATTTTATCTTTCATTATTATTGGAATCTTATAAATATAAATTATAGTAATTCCTAAAGATTCCTTAATGATATAAATGATTGAATATAACAGAGCAATAGGAGTCAAGCATGATAATTCTTGCATATGGTTAACAAAATAACTTTATTAATAATTAATCCACTTACATGTTTCGACTCACTTTTGAGCCATCCTCAGAAACAATATGTAATTAAAAAAAATTTTTTTTTACAAACTAATTCATTTCAATCAGCCACTTCCACCTATTAACGGAAATTATAATATAAAAACAAATTCTAATAACAATCTAAAATGTATTAAAATTATTTAATAAAATTATTAAATTTTTTGGGGGGGGAGGGAGCAAAAATGATTTATTCTAAAATAATAGAAGGTCACTAAACCAAAAATTCACCACATCACAATGTCACGTCCTGATTTTCGTGCGAAATGGCGCCTTCGCGGGGCCGCAGATGTGGGACGTCGGAGCTATTCCCTTGTCTTGACGTCAAACGATAAGGAAATACGATGGTCGTGATTCTTGGCCGAGCGGAAACCAAGAGGAGAGGAGACGGGGAGTGCTGTCATTCGAAAGTAAGGCACGACGTTGCTTACACAGAGAGATGCGCACAAGGGAAGAAGGAGACGAAGAACACGCAAATGACTGTAAGAAAGTATGCGTTTATTTGATCCTGCCGTGACTGCGGAGGGGCCACGCGTATGACGCACTGCCAATCTTTATAATCTTCGGAAGAGCGCGACGAGCGGGGCGCGATTATGGCGGATTCTGATGACAGGCCCTCGGGAGTAGGATAGATCCACCGCAGGTTGAACTCTAAGGTCCAGTGATATTCCCGGACGAACGCGCGCAGGGCTTGTTCATGTTCGCCGGACGGGGCCTATCGTTCATCCCTGCGAACATGATAGAGTTGGCGATATTATGAATTCGATTTTCGATTGGAAATGTACGCTGACGCTGACGCGGGCATACGGCTAGGCTACGGCTAGAACGCGCGGAGCCTTGTCTCTATCGAATTGCGGGAGGGAAGACGTAGGATTGACGTCTCCTGGTTTCCTTTTCTTTTGCGGGACCTGGCCTAGAGATAGTTGGATGAGCGACGGGGCAAAGGCTTGGCAAGATTGAGCAGCGAAGCGTTCTTTTAGAGCGCTTGCTCCCCGTTTGGAAGGCGGCCGTGTGCTCGAGGTCGAGCGGCAACCGAAATCAGAAGAGGCCGAAGCTTCTGAAAAGCTCACGACCTAACTAGAAGTAAGGATAGACGCGGGGAGGGAAACTTCGTACCAGGATACAAATCTGATTGGTATCTGAGGGTTGTCGCTCGGGATGTGATAATAGGTGGCCTCCCCCTTTAGGAACACTGCGATCGACATCAGTTGGTTTTGCGCCTAGCGCACTCAAAGGACAGATAACACACTGCACATAAAGGATACTTCGCGAAAGGAAGTTGCCAAAAAAATGAGAAAGAGAAAAATGAATAAAATAAACAAAATGATTCAAAATCGACTTGGCACTGAGACTAATCAATAAGAATTTTACATCTGTGGCGAGAGTTAACATTTTATGTGACCTTTACACTGGATAATAACATAAAATGTTAACTATCGTTATAGAGAATTTAATCACTTTATCGCCAAGAACGATTTTACATAGAAGAAATAACAAATTGTAGCAATAAGTTATTTTAAGTTACGTTCGAATACAAAATCAACTTATTACACATATTAAGAGCAAGACGAACTATATCACAAAAGAAATAGTAGCTGTCGGCAGTTCTCGACTATTACAAATATTGCTTCTATTTTCACGAAGTGTGAGTGACCCGCAAAATGTTCCTGTTTATATACTCGTGCGGATTGTCTTTTAGCGGATACGGGATTGGCCAATCACAATCCTCGTTATAATTTAATATTGTTCTAGAATGTTCTACGCAAAAGTCGGTAACGACTATTATAATTGTTATAATTGATTTGATTCCGGATTATTGAGGTATTAAGATTATTTAAAGAGCCACTAGTGGTGACTTTTATACATATGCCGCTCCTGCGGCATTCTCTGCAGTCCCTTTACTTGTATTACAGTTTTTATGTGCGAATTTTTGGTATTGAATCCGCGCAACAAATATCCTTTGTTCTATATTTTGTTTGTTTAAGCGCATCTACTGCATTTTTAGTCGAATTTTAGTTGTGAATCTTTCGTTATTGCGACGATTGGACAGTAATGGTCATTAGGACATGATGATCGTCGGCCAATTGTTCGTAGGTTTTTTTAATTAGTTAACTTTTTATTAATTTTGCAGAGAACGCGCAGTGTGTTTGTTCTAATCTTTCTAACATTTGTTCATTTAATTACTAACCTATTGCCTTTTCATTTCGTCGCGAAGATTTGTCTAATTAATTTGTCGGGATTTGTCGGAAAATTGCATGATAGGGTCACTGATTAGCGCAGGCGCAGTGCGTCTTATGATCACGCGTTAGTCGCATGGTCCTGCGATTTCGTCCTCGCGTCGACGATAATATGAATATTGTTTGTATGTTATGGACGCAACGATTTTAGTTTCGCTACTGTGATCGAGATCGTTGACTCTGCAATGGTACCCGCGTCACAAGTGGTAAAAGTTCGCCACTGCAATAGATGCAGTTTTTAATTTGAGCGGCGAACGTTACACGCAAACACTTAAATTTTATCGGTTTAGTCAAAACCCCAGTCTTTGATCCAGTCTTTTGAAATTAATGAATAATTTTAATACACTAAAACATTAATTACAAAAAAAAAGAAAAAAAGAAGGAAAGAAAATTCTGATATTAATTATAGTCCAGACAGATATTAAAACCAAAATTGAATCTTTAATAATTTAATCTTAATATAACAAAGAATGTACACTGAACGTACACTTTGTTTTAGGTGTATATATTATATGTAAAAGTTATTCATTAATTTCAACATAATTGACACTGATTCGCTGAATGGTCAAAGACTGGGTTTTGATTTAAATGTTTGCGATATAGTGAATTTTTGGTTTAATGAGCTACCTTCTATTATTTTAGAATAAATCGTTTTTGCTCCCTTCCCCCCTCAATAAATTTACCTTTTAATAATTTTAATACATTTCAGATTGTTATTACAGTTTATTTTTATATTATTTCTGTTAATAGGTGGAAGTGGCTCACTGAAATGAATTAGTTCGTAAAAAAAAAATTGTAATTACAACATCATATTGTTTCTGAGGATGACTCAAAAGTGAGCCGAAACATATAAGCGGATTAATTATTAATAAAGTTGTTTTGTTAACCGTATTGATTTGCATAAGAATTATGCTTGACTTCTATGCCCTGTTATATCGATTTATAACCATTTTGAATATTTTATATTGCACTTCAATTTTAAAAGTTAATGTTATATATAATTAAAGTTATATTATAATTAAAAGTAAATGTTTCATACTGTTATTAATACAAAATAATATTTTACTAGTCTAATTAACACTGATTTGTTCTGATTGTAATAATACATATTCTAAATTTAAATTAGTGAGCAAATCTCTAATTACGTTTATTGAATCTCTAATTACTCTTGAATCAATATTATATTGAAATGTTGTATCAAAAATAATTAAAATATAAAGTACAAATATAATCAATATGTAACAAAACAGTATCTATTATGCTAAAATATTATCCATATTAATAACATTACTTATTTAGCTTTTAAATATAAAATATCTATCGTTCAAATAATTATATTGAAATAACTATATGTTTTTTTATTAATTTTAATTTGGTCAAAAATATTAATTACAATAAAAACTAGTTTTTTATTCGATACTTTTCTCCGAAATCAAAAAGACTGTATTTTTTACATCTCTATGCTAATTCTAATTCATTTCTATACTCGAGAGAAAAGGATAAAATCTAATCAGATCAAATTATATCTCAGCATATCAAATTATATAGTATATGATCAGATACACGCTTAGATATAACTTCTCATATCAGATCTGAAAAATAATAAGCCGAACCGTTCACCTAAACAATCTATCGGAATGTTAATCATATTTAAATTAATAAACCATTCATTATGTAAAGAATCAAATATATCTTACAACGTAAAGAATCAATTTGTATTTTATTCTAGTCTCTACAAGATTTAATCACAAATGGCCTTTCCTCACACGTTAAAAAAATTTATGACATGAAAATTTGTTGGTTAAAATGTCCTGTTAGAAAATCATTTATAAAATCAATTGCTTGGACTGTAAAGGCATATGGGTCTTAAGATTCACATTAAAAGACAGCTTAATACGAGAATTGAAGAA